TAAAGATTTTAGAATATATGTTAATAGATCTTAAATTAAATGATATAAAGTGTAGGATTTATGTTTCAAATTTTAGCATTTGAAGTTACATGAGTGCCTTAGTAAGTCTCAAGAATTCTTTAATATTATTTTTTAATACTTATTAATTAATTTTTTAATATTTTAACTAAATATATTTTTTCATCATTAATATCTAAGATTCTAATAGTATAAAATTTTTACCATATATATTCTTAAATTTGTACATATAAACACTTTGACTTTTGTAAGTCCCACCAATGCATCTGAATTGGTAATTATATAAAAAATAATCTTTTAATCTTGTTTAGATATTAAAATATTAAGATTAGAAAAAATATTTGATTATTTAAATATCAATTAGTATGTAGAAAGCCTTATAAGTTACAAGTGTCTTAATAAATAGAAATACATGAAAATTAAAGGCAATTATCTTTATTGCTTTGGTATTTTTTCTTAATTGTGCTAATTTTTATTTTTTTATTGACACCAATGCTTATAATAGGTCATTCGTTCAAATTTATTATTAATTATTATGTTGTAAATATTATTTAGTAGGTAATTTAATCATGAAAAATAAATATCATGATGTTTAATATATATAGTTAATTTAAATTAATTTTATTATAATAAAAATTATCTAAGGTAGGATAAAACTTTATATACAAATTGAAGAAGAAAGATTTTCACAATCATCCATACTTATTTTAAATGATAATCAAATCTTTAATTTATTTCAAATCTTTAATAAAAATGCACCTTTTCCAAGTTCTAAATACAGTGACAAGATTGTGTGTCTTGTTAGAAAGCACAAGCCACTCTTAAATCCTTCCTCATGTTTACAAATATATTGTCCCTCAACAATCTAGAAGCAAAGAAATGAATATGGTTTTTCCTTTCATTGCATACTGATCACATTCTTCACATCTAGATCATCTCTTTGAGTGTCCATTTAATGTTGTTAGATATCAAGACATTCCATTACAGAGAAGAAAGTGAATGACAATTAGTCATGTTTGGTATAGAATAGAGCAGGAGATAGTAACATTTACACATACAATGAGATAAATTCCTGTGTTCCTAGTGAAGGTGAAATTGGCTTCCTTGTGGATTCATCATAAACGCAAAAAGCATCAGTGATCTGCTGAAATTCATCAAATCTGGTATTTTTTGATAACCTTAAGTCGTATCGTGTAAGATACAGCTCAGTTGTTTGATAATTTACTTGACAAAGTTGGATAGTTCTTAAAAAGTACAACGTATCGATGAGTGTCGGGGTTTGCAATGGTAGAGGAAAGGCGACACCATCACTGAAAGACTCCACGACATCCGAGCACCTCTAGCACTCGCTTAGATGAGTTTTTCACTCTTGCTGTGTCTATTTCAGAGACTAGAGCGTCATTGTGCTTCCGTAGCAACCGTCAGTGCAGCTCTGGAATTCTTGGTGCTGATAAGGAATCTATCCAAGTGTCTTTGAACTGATGCATTTGGGTTAATTAAGGAAGCTTTGAGAATTTTGCGTTCCTGGTCGACCGAACATTCGAAAGTGAATCAGTGCATACGCAGTTGAGATTTAGGCAGTCTCAGCGGTGTAGTTCTGTAGAAGACAATGTAATATGGGATTTGCTGGGTGGTGTGAGGTCAATGTCGTGCTGGAGGAGATAGAACATGCATCAGCGCCCTCAAGAGTATGTTCACTGCCGTCATCAAGTTTTCCTTTGAATGAAACTAAGAGCTTGTTTCATCTCTTGTACCAAACTCAAAATACAAAAGCAAACTTGATCTAAGAGAATGCCACGCGGTTTCATGAGCAAATCCAAGTTGTTCGGAGTCTTCAGAAGCTCACCTCAAAACCACTCACAAGGACAGTCAGCTCTGCCTGTAACCATGTAAACCACAAAAGCAAGAAAAAACCTGCACAATCGGCTTCCCCGAATCGATGACTCCTTCTAGAATTGGAAAATATAGATCTAGTCTGCATGACTCACTACATCCAAAATCCTGTTCCACCTGCCAATAAAACAGCGCAAGCTGCTTCGCCATTGAAGCCTTGGTTTTCGACCAACCGATACGTCTGCAGGTGTTTGTCCTCGATTGTTTAACGAAAGGCTTCATGGCGTTCCTGAGCAGTTTGAACACAAGCCATTTATTCCTGCACGATGAGGGCCCACGGAAATCTAGGCTCTTAAGAACCTCCAATCGAACCGGCAATTTCACAGGCCTTTTCTTACTCGATGAGCAACCAAAACGATTCCAATTGTAGTTGATATGTTGGAAACCTGACGGAGGGTTCTTTAAACTCGAAATAAACCATCATCAAACTGGACAATTACCATAGAATTTGGGTTAAACAAACGGAACCGCCCTACTCCGGAAGTTGACATACAAATGAAGAATTTGCGTGAAAGGTGGGAGCAGACCACCCCAACCTCCTTCTCTAACATTATTCTCCAATTGAAAACTTGCTAGATGTTTTGATACACTTTCCTTTTCAAGACAACGAGTTGTGTACTAGTCTGTTGCTGGATCAAGAGCTAACCAAATCTGAAGAAGTAAAGTGTGGTATTTGCGCAGCATGGACTTCCATCATCAGGAATGAACGAAAGATTCTGACGAGCTCCAAGTCTGTTGTCAGGGATAATGTGACCTAGGTTCAAAACAATTTACGAATAGCAATGTGTTGACGCTAAAGCACTACACAGTCAAAACCAGCTGCTGTTCTATTCGTTACCCACTTCCGTAATTGGGGGCAAACTAGCCCAGAAGAAAACTGTACATCGGAATCCCTAGGTTCTCCATATTCCATGATAAGCATGCATTTGCACACGACAAAAACTTTTGTATTGATTCGCAAAAACATTATTGTGTGCAATATTGGATCACGCATGTGGGTTGAAAGGCCGAAGTGGTTCGAGCATAATGTACTTCAAACAGTGGAGCGTAAAACTGCAAAATGATCGATTCAACAAGTAAAGAAGGAGCCATCAAGCAGATACCATGCAGGATACTTTCGCCCCGAATTACGGCAGTATTCTAGCACTAAAAACAAGCCATTCGGCTTTGGCTTGTCACATTCACCTGACACCGTGCCCTGGCTTGTCCTCCTGATCTGAAGAGAAAACCAACAAGAGTATGAACTAGAGAACTCTCGCCACAGCACTGAGCTGGTGTCGAAACTCGTTAGTTGTGAAGTTCTTTCGATCAGATCCAACACGCAGAAACAGACTCATGCTCGATGGTCACTTGACAACCGCATCCTGCCGACATCGCGTGCTCAGAGCGCGAGGCGGACACCAACACACTCAAGGTCTGCATGCAGTGCAGCGTTTTTTTCCCCTCGGCGGAACCCCTCCCCCCCCCCCCCCCAACAATATTACACTACCTAGTACGTGGTGAGAACACTCCACATCGTTTAGAGCTGCAGTATTTCTCAAATGCTCTCCGAATTACACAGTGCACCTTAGCAGCACATGTCTGGGGCCTGCCTGTTGAGGAGATGCAGTTGTGGGCCAGGGAGCCCAGTGCAGCAAGACGGCGCCACTTGTATTGATGACGTCGAAATGTCATCAGCCTCTACGCAGATTGGAGCATGACACGCCACCCGGCTCATGAATCCCCAGCTTTTTGGTGGTGGGTCATAAAGTTGAAGACTAAGTCATCAATACGACTTTAGATATATTTCTTGGATTCCCTTGGAGCTGTACCCAGTTCTAGCTCACATCCACGTACAGATACACAAGTCTATTGTCGTTTTTCTGTATTTCTTAAATAATAACTTAAGTTGTGAAAGTAAAAGTCACCCCAAAAATGCGGTTCTTTGAATTCTGATATGACCACCCATTCTCAAGATTGATACTAGAAAGTCGTCGTCCTTTTCGATCAAGCGGTGAAGCCTCAGCCTGCGCTCGCCCAGAAAGGTTCTACCTGTACGCCATTTCCAAGGCGTTTGTCGAGAATCTCCACAGTCAATGCGGACGTACGAGATTCCACACTTTGACTATTCTTCTTCTTCGTCACAAAAACACTGATGATAGAACAGAACATTCTGCGAGGAGGGCTGAAGTGAGATGGTGTTGTAACACACCTCTCATTGCAAAAACCCTAATTTATGAATCCGCTCGTAAAATCCACGTGATAGCCATAAGGGAAACTTTGCAGTGGAACGGGGAACCAACCCTTCGGATTCTGGTTCAAGAGCCTGACATGATGACACGACAGCAGGAGGAGGAGGATCCAGGACATCAGGGTGCCGACGTGGCGAGTAGCGTCCGCTACCCTGGACTCAACAAGTCCAAGTGGGCCAGAGTGGCGCAATTCACGAGTACCAACAGATGGGAGATGTGAAGGAGTCAAATGGAGGAACGGCTCTAAGAACGCCGTTTCCTGGAAGCGTCGCGGAGGAGAGGTTTTGGGGATGGATGCACATGCGGGAGGGCGGGCAGCGAAGGGGACGACGTTCCCAATGAGGACGAGAACACTTATCTGCAGCAGAGTTACTTACGAAATTGGTAGAAACAGCGGACGCGGAGCCCCATCCAAGGCGAGTGAGCCCGTTTCCATGTACCCTCTGGGAACAGGCTCAGGTCGGGAAGATCAGGCTCCGTCAGAAAGTTCGTTCGTCGAGGACTGGGGAGCAGAGGGGCAAGGGAAGGGGGAGAGGAGGAGGGTGGAAGGCAAAGCGAGCGAGGGAGGGAGGGAGAGAGTGGAGAGAGTGGAGAGGGAGAGAGCCCTCCCCTCGCTCGCTCGCTCACTCACTCTCACAAGAGAGAGAGGCGATCCCCTTCGCCGATGCCAAAACCTCCCTTCCCCAACCTCCTCCTCGTGCTCTCGAATGCCTCGCATTCCCTCTCTCTCTCACTCTCTCTTTCTCTCCCTCTCCGCTCCCCTTTCCAATTTCCGCCGCTGTTCGTGACCTGCCTTCTTGTAAGGCGCTCTTACCCTTGCCCTAGCTTATCGCTGTGCAAGTAAGTCTGGTGGCCAGTTCCTATGCCATTCTTCGTCGCTGCTCTATACTTTTGTCGCGACAGGAATTTGCGTTGTTGAGTTTTTAGTGGAGGCTTTTTGTTGTTATTGTTGTTGGTGGTGGTGGAGGACGTTTGGGCGAGTGTTAGAATTGTGGTATTGTGAATCTTTTCGTGAGATCGAGGTTTTATAGGGAAGCTCGAGTTGGATTGGGATGGCTGTGAATGCGGGGAATTTCGAGGGGTTGTGAAGGGAAAAGATGGCTGTGTTGTTGTCGTTTTGGTGGTGTAGAGGCGTTTGAAATGCGAGAGCTGAGGATGAGGGAGGTCGCGTTGTTTGGTTTCTGACCTCGCTTCCGAAGGGCGACAGAGTGAGCAGGATTGATTGTGGATAGCTGTCTTTGGAAGAAGAGTTTTTCATAATTTTGATTCAGCACATTTGGTTGGGTCTGGTTTACGGTTGTCAGTGGAATGAGATGGTTTCGCGGGCCCTTGTTGACCTCGTCAAGTTGTTGTGCGTCACGCTAGATTTTGCGCGCATTGGTACTTGCACCGTCTGCGCGGGTCTTTAGGGCTGAGGGCAGGCAAGTGACTGGTACAGTATGTTTCAAGTCATTTCATAGCTTTTTCATTTGTTGAGTCGTTTGCTGCGTATAGAATGTTTTATTTTGTATTTTCATTCAGAAAGGAGTCGACGTTCATGACACGTCGATTTGGACGGGTGCTGATATGATTTGAGGATTTGTATTTCACAACCTCCCATTCATCTCTGTAAAAGGTGGTCATTATATTTGGCTTCCCAGCCCTAACTGCCCGAGACTTTTTCTAACCTTGATTTAGTCCGTGCCCCGATCGTATTCTTTGTGGCGCTCAGCCGATGGTGTTGGTGCCTCGTCTCCTGGTCATCTTGCACCCATCACCATGACGTGTATTCGTATCTTGAGAAATAAATTTATTTGGATTTCCACGATATCCTGCACCCTAACTGCTCCTTAACATGGTGCTCATCTCCCGTTGTTCCCGGTTTTTGGAGACGCTGCTGCAACCCTCTGGGCTTATGATATATCTTGCTTTCTACTCCTCCGCGCCTTTGTGTATACTCTTCTTCGGCATACTCTGATAACTGTCAAGGCTGATTATTGGATTACGTGTGTTACAAGGGTGCATAATTTTTTTTCAACAATAGTGGAATTTGAATTTTACGATTTCCCTTATCATTGGAGTTCCTGCCTCCTGTTTTTTGAAAGGTATCTGTGTTTGGTACCTGCCCTGACTGTGAGGGGTAACCTGATTGTTTTTGGTTCGATTGAACTACTGAAAAGTGATGATCACGGTAAAATCTTGTGTCGTCATAACTGTGAACGATGATTATTTGCTCTCAAAGATGGATTTGTCTTCTGCCTGATTCTACTTCCTTTCCTGGTGTCTGTGATGAGCGGGACGTTATTGTTGTGTTGCTCAAATTATGTGTCATCATCTTGTTTAGCATTCTACACCTGTAGTATATAATAGGGCTGTGAAATGAGGGAATCCATCAATGTCGCTGAATGACTTGCATCTGGACCTCCTGATGTTCTGCTTATGTTAGCAGTTATAATGGTCGATAATATCCAAGGTCTCGTGCAAATAGTTGTGTCGTTCATTTTCCTTTCCGCTTCATCGCTCTTGATAAGCGGTGATTCTTAGTATTTGCTTGTTTTCATCTTAAATTTTTAATTTTAAAACAATGTGATGAACATTTCAGGCTAGCTTGGGTCTTGGTGATGGACCGAGTTTATGAACGTTTTTTCTCGTGTCGTTTGCAGAATCCGTCTAAGTAGAGTCTGCCCGAATAAAACAACGGAGGTAAAAGTGGAGAAGAAGAGCTCCCTATAAGTGGGGATAACTGTGAGGGAGGGGAATGGACAGCGCTGTATTAGATGATATCATAGTGCGGCTGCTCGAGGTGCGGACTGGGCGGCCGGGCAAGCAAGTGCAGCTCTCGGAGGCCGAAATTCGTCAACTTTGTGTTACGTCTAAGGATATATTTTTGTCACAGCCTAACCTCCTTGAGCTGGAGGCGCCAATCAAGATTTGTGGTATGTCCTCATTTTACATGGCATTGTGTCTTTGCATTTTTAGACACCAGTGATCATGACGGTTCATGTAAATGCGCAATAGGAGTAAGCTTAACAGAGATGTTTGGTGTTTTGATCAATACAAGCTTGCAACTACTAGCTTTCTATCGTTGATTGATTGGGCAGTAGCTGGATTGAAATTTTTGTATACTCATGTTCTCGAATTTCTAATTTGGAATCCTGGAACAGTGTAACATTTTGCTTGAAATGTACGTTAATACCCAGTGCCAAATTAACGACTTCTAGTTTTTTATTTTATTCTATTTTATTTTATTTTAAGCACCTACTAGTTACGTGCTGTTTCTTTTCTTGAAGCTGGTCACTGACAAGTGTTGGCATGACACTGCAGGTGACATCCATGGGCAGTATTCCGACCTCTTGAAACTTTTTGAATATGGTGGTTTTCCACCTGAGGCCAACTACTTGTTTTTAGGGGATTATGTTGACAGAGGAAAGCAGAGTTTAGAAACTATTTGCCTTCTCTTGGCATATAAAATCAAGTACCCAGAGAACTTTTTTTTGCTAAGAGGAAACCATGAATGTGCATCAATCAACCGAATATACGGCTTCTATGATGAATGTAAACGTCGTTTCAACATACGGTTGTGGAAGACGTTTACAGATTGTTTCAACTGCCTGCCCGTGGCTGCCTTGATTGATGAAAAGATTTTATGCATGCATGGAGGCCTTTCTCCGGAACTCAAGAACTTGGACCAGATAAAAAAGATTGCTCGGCCAACAGATGTACCTGATGCAGGCTTGTTGTGTGACCTTCTATGGGCGGATCCTGACAAAGATGTATCTGGATGGGGAAACAATGACCGAGGAGTTTCCTTCACATTTGGTCCAGAAACAGTCGCAGAGTTTCTACAAAAGCATGACTTGGATCTTATCTGCCGAGCCCATCAAGTACTGTGATCAACTCTCAATTTAAGTATAGCTTAAACTTCGAGTTGATTATTCATGAGGATATGTTTAGGAGTGTTTATTTTTAATCCGAAAAAGTTCAGGTCCTTGCTTGAGTATTGGTGGAACCAGTGAGGAGTGCTAGATTTTTCCAGCATTGATTAATTTACTTTTTTCGTTGGGTAGGGATCGTAGATGGTTAAACCGTAATTTAGAGATCTGATAATTAATGACTTGCGTGGGATTCCGCATGCAGGTAGTTGAGGATGGTTATGAATTCTTCGCCAAGCGCCAGCTGGTTACTATTTTCTCTGCACCGAATTACTGTGGTGAATTTGATAATGCGGGTGCCATGATGAGTGTTGACGATACTCTCATGTGCTCATTTCAGATACTAAAACCAGCGGAAAAGAAGCAAAAGTTTGTCTCTTATGGCAACAATCCGTCACGACCTGGAACGCCTCCTCGTGCCGCCAAGGTCAGCAGATTTTGAAGCACGAGAAACTTACTTGATCGAGTCACTGATTGTCGCGTGTATGTAAATGTACTATGAATGCATGGAATTGTCCATTCTATGACTTCCACGTAAGATCCTGAAATCGGTGTTTCTGGGGAGGGCCAGGGATAATGCCAGGTGATGGTCGTGAGCTAGAGAAACCAACCTATAAACAATGAGCGCCTTTGGAGCGGAAGCTTTATACTCTTGAGCTCCGTTGACGGATGTCAGCTACTGATGTGGGCTTGCTCTTTGGAACAGCTTCATCTAGTGGGTGACCTATAAGCAGTCCGCTGCTGAGCTGGAGTTTGTGGCCAGCAGAAAGTTGAGCATGACTTCAGAGACACACATACGTATGCATTCAACGCACGCACAAACTTAGGATCTGTAGTTATTTCGGAAGCTAGCGTGGTATCCTTGGGAGGGCGGTTTCGCACATGTCTTAACTCTCTACCGTTGCTTGAGCAAGAGGTTTGTTAGGGTGGGATTGGGGCTGTTGGGGTGTGATATGTCTGTAGTTGGTGGTCTGCAGCGGAGCGATTATGCCAATCGTAGTTAATGTACATTAGGGAGCGTGAGCACCCGGTTTCAAGTCACTCCCATCTCATTTTCAGTTTAGTCAAACCTATATTGCAATTCGCAATCTGCTTGACTAGAGTTTCTGTGTCGTCGTATTGGCTTAAATGTCTGCCTCGTTGAACATGCCTTTTCTGGTCATCGGTGTGTAGGCACCCCGCTTGGATATTCTCAAATTTCATAGCCCTCTTAGGACGCACCTCTAGTGAGCATCACCCTCGCCTTCCATTTATTTGAATTTTTTTTTTTTAGAATGTGTTCTTCCAGAATCTATTGCAGATCATTATGGTATACCTCATTTTTGACGACAGATCACTGCCACTACGTCAGTGATTTTTTTATCAATTAAGGTACATATGCATTTCCGTACATATACCAGTGTTGGACCATGCAATCAAAGTTAAAACTAAGTACGAGATCGTGTGTATTGTCATTCTGGACTCGTCATCGTTAGATCTATGGCTAAACTCAACCAGACTTCTTTACACATTTTGTGTCGAATCTGTATTCTTTCATCTTGTTTTAGTACTGGTAATGTTTGACAATTCTGAAGTGGAATTCGATGTTTTGCATTCTACAATTTCTATGGACATGTAAGACTTCTCCGCAGTCCAACATTGAATAGATAAAATAGCGGGTCAAAACACATGTAGAATTATAGGATGAGAGTCAAAATTGAATCTAAAAAAAATGAATGCAAACATTGGACATAAGTTTGATAGCAATTGAATGAAGATGAATCCGCCATACGATAAACAAATACACATCAGGTACCATAAAAAGAAAGAAGGGAAACAGAATTATTGTGCTTCATTTAATGAAAATCAATCTATCATTTCGTTTGCAAATGTAATTTTCCCACTCAGAATTTTACAATGTGCTTCTACTCAAGCATTCTTTTTCTTTTTCTTTTTAATCTTATTCAATGTTTCATGGACGTGACCAATTTCTGCAATTAAAGGTCAAATTTTATATTTTTAAAAATTAACCCTATATCTAAACATAAACTACTAATGGTTATACATGACTTTTTTTCATTAAAAAATTAATTAATATTATTAAATTAAAGCCCAGATTGCACAGTTAAAAGTAATAATATTGAATTTAGATATTTCTATTTTTGGTGTATTCCAGAATCTATCAAAATTCCTGAGTTGGTAAATTAAATTCTGAGGCACCAAAATTAAACTAAATGAAATATCAACTATGACATTTTGCAGCATGGGATAAAATCCTTTGAAAGAATCCTGTAAAAGGACATCTCAAACCAAAATCACACCAATTGAATCTCATCAAGTTTTACTTCTGCATAGCATCTGAAGAATGATGACCTTGCCAACGGTTGCAGACGTTTGATATTGTTGTCACATTGATCTTGATTGTAGAAATAAGAAAAATATGTTAAAATAAAATAAAATAAAATAAATTGCAGTAGTTGGATTGTGCACGTACAAATTGTCATTGCTAGGTGTTCCTTATGTCTGAGGTGTCAAAACCTTATTAACAAAATCGAAAATTATTTTTGACAAGGTCTTCTGATTGTTTGTAGAGTCACTTTAGGAAAAAATCTTTGATGCACACAAAGTTGTTTTGCAATAGTTACACAAAAAAAAAACACACAATAATTACAATTCATTGCCATAACCACAATGTCAAAAACATAGTCAAAACTGATATATAAATAAGGATTATGTAAATTTGATTTTTTATCAAATATGTATTAAGATAATAGTTTAAGATTATCTTTTAATTATGGAGTCATATATATATATATATATATATATATATATATATTATCAAAATAAATACCTCTTCAAATATTAGTAATGTTATGTTTGAGTTATATTATATAAAAAATTAAAGTATCATATACTTTCTAGAAATAATATATTACATATCAAGAAGGAACTATTTGGTGATGCTTTAGACATATTATTTTTTTAGATATTAGACACAAGTAACACCTCTATCTTGCTTTGTTCAATTTGTAAGATAAGAATTACATACATGTAATATAATGTATTTGTAAATTGTTGAAAACATAGGTCATAAAAATTGCATGTGTTTTTTAGCAAAAAAATATTAAGATGAGTATTATTAAGTACAAAGAGATTGGAGAGATTTGAACTAAGATTAGATTACAGAAGAGGCACTATAAGCTTGTAGATGACTATGTTGTTTATCTCTTTATATATTGGTTAATAAGAAAGCCATGTAAAAGATTTTTAAGTACCACAAAGCTTATATGACAAGTGTTTAAGTTGTACAAGTGTGCACCTTCAAATAACTTTTTACTTAATTCTTTAAAAATTCAAATATATATAAATATATACTAGATAAATTTTATTTAATATTAAGATTTAAAAGAATCACTTAGTTAAGCTAATAATTTTTTAATAAAATATTTAAGTATACCTATTAATAGAATTAATAATAAATGTCTTAAAATAATTATTCTAAAAATATGAGTAATTTTTATTTTATTAAATATTGACTAATTTACTATATGAGATTCTTAATGGATAAAAAATTATTTAAAAACAAGAAAAAATTACTCAAAATGAAAACAACAAGATAGAATTATTTCTTCTTAATTGTAAAAATAATTTAAATCTTAAAATAAAATCTTATTATTAATAATAATAAATATTAAAAAATAACTCCTTTGCCTCATTCATTTAAATTAATAATAAAAAATCAAAAAATAGGGAGTTGTTAAAGCCACACTTCTGAAACTATATGATGATTAATTTTGGGGGATAAGGAATAAGGGACATGGATATTGAACAAGAGATAGAGATGGGGATGGACACAATTGATCATGAGATAATAATTTGGGGTGAGACTTTAACAGCATTAGGATGTGACTCTAATAATTCTCTAAAAATATTATTTTAAAATAAAATGAATCTACGAAATACAATATAAAAATAAATTAAAAAAAACCCTCTTTGCAAGAAAAGTCTTATAATAATTGGTATCTCACTATGAAAAATAATATTACATTACTTCATTATGTAAAAAATACTTTATCAATATTTTTTTGTAAGAAAAATTACATCAAGAAAAAATGTTAGAATTAATAAAATTATGATTATAATATATATATATATATATATATATATATATTCTTGTGTATTTTATCAAAAATATTTTCTAATTGCATCTTATATTATAAAAAAATGATATTCTACTTGTGTAAAAATATTAAAAAATATATAAATATTAAACATGAAAAGTTCATATTGGTTCTCCATAGGGATACTTATGGCCGTGGTTGTAAATAATAATGTAACACCTCATTGTTGGGGTCCCTTTAACCAAGAATCAAGCACAATATATATATATATATATATATAGATATATAAAATCCAAGACTTCGTGTGTCAAATTAGGGTTGGAAGCATGACCAAGCCCCAGCGCAGAATGGGACTCTCTCTCTCACAAGGTCTCACTTCAAGCACCAAGACTCTCCAGAATGATAACTAAGAAATAGATAAAGATAAAGAGAGCAAAAAAGCAAACAAAGAAAAGCGAATCCAGAAACAAAAGATTCAGTGACGGGGCGAGCCGACGGATGAAAACGGAAATCGGATGATAACCCTCTGCCCGCCAGCTCGTCCGTCCTCTCAATCGTCCGTTCATCAACCCGTCCATGCGTCCGTTCGTCCGTCCGTCGAGTGGTGCGTCGTGAGGTCCGTATGTTCGTCCGACGGAGGAGGGGCAGCAACGACGGAGGGAGAGAGGGATGGAGGGGGAGATCCTCCTCCTTCCTTCTTCCTCCTTCCTCGTCTTCCTTCCTCTTCGTCCCCGCATGCAGAGTTTGCTGCGGTGCTGCAGGAAGGGCAAGGAAGGGGGAGAGGGGGGGATGATGCTGTCTGTGGCACTCTCTCTTACTCTCTTGCACCCGATTCAGCACTGCACTGCAATGCGCACACACTCTCACTCTCACACACTCACTCACTCTCACTCACTCTCCCCCTCGATCTCTGTATGTATGTGGCACTTGTCCTTCTGGAGGATTGTGGAGGCTTGTTGGTTTTGAGATTCTGCAGGAGTTGAACCGTTTGTTACTTTTAATTCCAGGCTCTCTTTTTGGAAGAATCCCTTTTTTGCGAATTTCGGGGAATTTTGAAGTAATTTTCAAGGGTAGAGGATTCTGCATTGAGATGGCAATGGTGAAGGACAATGTTGTTCCTGAGCCTTCGTGGCTGCGGGAAGGGAAGATGGCAGAGTATAGAGCAGAGGAAGCGGGGTACGAGGGCTCATGGTTCGCAGTCAAGATTGTGAAGCTGTACTATAAGGTCTCAGGGGGCCGGAAGGTATGTCATCAGGCGTACGTGCAGTACCGCGACTTTACGGTGTCAGATGAACCCGACAGTGATCCCTTCATGAGACTGTGGTGAAGGATCAGCTGCGACCCTTCCCGCCGCAGCTCCTGCGGAAGCGATTCAAGGTGCGCGACGCTGTCGAGACGTTATACAACGATGCTTGGTGGGTGGGTTTCATCAAGCACCACAACCCCAAGGAAAACACATACCAGATTTACTATGGCGGGGGGCAACCAGAGCTCGAGCTTCCGTTTTTGCACATTCGATCTCGCCAAGAATATGTTCGGCCCTCGGGACCCGAACTGAAGTGGAGCTGGAGCATCGTTCGCCCTATGCAGGTTTTAGATGATATTCCCTTTCTTGTCTACTTTTCTTGTGTTGTGGGTTTTTTCTCATTAAACAAATTAGAGAAGAACATAATTTAAGTAGAAAGAATCGTAAAAATGGTTTTGTTTACATGATATTTGTCCTGCTTGAGACGCAGGTTGTTAGAAAAGTGCAGTAGTAGCGTTTTCCTCCCTCAACTTTTGCCCCAAATGTGCTGTTGATAGAGAGACGTGAAGTGAGTATCTCGTTGAGGCCCCTGGGTTCAGTCAGTTACGTAATTCGATGGCAACGTCATCGATTTTTGTAAGAATTTGCCTAGTGTGATAAATTGGTTAATGGTGTTGGGAGAGTCGCATGGATTTGGGAATTATTGAAGTATAAGTCAAACTTGCCGAGCTGACTTGGGTATACGACAGAACCTGCCACCTTGGGAGCCAAGAGCGAAGATGAAAGAGGCGCAGATTCATCCGAGACTGAAATTGCCCGCTCATTGCCTTGTTTACGATTCCGACGATTCACAGGACGAGAAGAAAGGGCGGCAGGAAAGGCGTCAACCGACGAAAAGGCGTAGAGTGGAGAGCAAGAGTGCACTTGCAAAGCCTCAAGCTCCTCCGCGGATACGCGTGATCAAGTTTCCGAAACCCGAGATGAAGGTCATTGCCATCAATGCGCCATCACCAAAGGTGTCAGAGCAATCCATGGTCAGCCTCACACCTGGATCATCCCCTCCGGCAGACAGCCCTCCCCAGGATTTCGACTCCTCGCGAGGCTCAGACTCCCAGGTCCAGAATGCACTTGTGATTACAGAACTATCTCCACAACGACGGTCGTCATCCTCATCGTCTTCAAGTGGCAGTGGTGGCGACTCTGGCACCAACTCCAGCTCAGAAGACGGTGTCGACGTTGGAGTCGATGGTGGCCATTCCAAAGAGGATGAATCAATTCACAAACACAATCAAGGTGCGGCGGCATCGACAAAGGACCAACCCGAACTCTCGATTTTCACAGATTCAAGTGCTGATCGAATCATTGACGACAGAGCGGCTTACAAGAAACTCTTGGAAAGGTTTCGGGATAGTTCCAAAGGAGTCCTTGACAAGTGGCGGCACGAGCTATTGCAAGGCATCCGGGAGGAGCTCCAATTGTCTTTGGAGTTCTGTCGTCAGGCCCACTGTGAAGTATTCGGCGTTTTTGTGTGAGGGTAACGGAACGTGAATTGATAACTCCAATCAGTATAAGAAGGCTTGCGAATGAGATGTGTGTCCTTGAGAGATTTCGAGCCAACATCTTCTGTTGTGTACGGTGACTATAGACGTTGTTGGTTGCTTGTATATACGATGGGTGCAACTCTGTAAAAACCACACGATTTCTGAAATACAGCTCATCAAAATAATGTGTGTCCTCATTATTTAGCTGCCTATCAACTTTTATTCCTAGCTATAAATGTGCTTGATTGGAAATTTTTGGTCTCGATTAATTTTCATCTCTAGCGTCGAAAGTAGATTCCTCAGGATGTCCTCACCTTGCAGAGGATACACTCGAGTTTTTTTTTTGCAGCGCCGAGCTCTGAAATACCATCGCCGTGGCTCCTCCAAATTTGTTGAATCTCAGTATCTAAAATGTGGGAACAAATTGGCACGTAGATGGACAGACATTCACTGAAACTTTAAAGCACTTCGACAAAGGCGGATAAGAGTCGTATGCATTTCATTTCTAATCTTTATCGTCGTTTTCTTCACAGAAAAGCGCTCTTTACGCAGATAGGGTGGTGGAAGCAACTGCGCAGAAAGACTTGAAAGACCTACGCTACAAGTCAACTTTGTTTTTATCACTAAGCGCTGTCCTGGATTGGAGGATCGTAATGATGGCGCTGCAGGAGGTGTGGAGCATCCGAAAAATTCTAAGTTACATTGTGTGTGATAGTAGGACGCGGAACGACAGACGCTGCACATAGATTCTCCAGCGTGCCAAAAACTTAACACATGTTCGCAGGATTTGGACGCAGTATTAAGATGACACCTCTAGCTCTGAATTCCTCAAAGTCTGCACAAAATCGGCGAATGTCACGACAGAGGTTTCCTCGCCATCCTTGGTGCCCACCAGCACCGTGTGCGCAACGTTGACGAAGAGGCCGTTCTCCACCACTCCAGGAATCATATTGATCTTCCTCTCCAATTCTGCCGGGTTCTTCACGCCGTCGGGAAACCTCACGTCCACAATCATGTTACCCTGCACCTCAATCACGTCCACGAAGGGAGGCGTTAATAGTTTTCTCTATCTCTCCCTCTCTCTCTGATTGCTCATTTGAAGAGCTTGTAAAGACGAACTTGGTTGCAATTAGGATTAGGAGCACACTACTCTTGATGCAGTAAAGGTAGAGAGATGGTGCAGGGAACGAACAAGGTCGGACATGACGGGGCCGTCTTTGCGAAGGGCGGTGCGAATCTCCGGCTGCCCTCCCAAAGCGGCCAATGCACGCAGCACTGGCGCAAGAGCGAAGGGCAGAACCTCCACCGGGACGGGAAAAGTGAGGCCCAGAGTCTTGACTACTTTAGTTTCGTCGACGAGGATGACGCAGTGCTTGGCTATGGAGTCCACCACCTTCTCCATCGTATGCGCTGCCCCACCGCCCTTGATTAAGTTCATGTTGGAATCCACCTGCACATTATTATCATCCCTGATTCCTTAGCACTGATATCTTAGACTAGAAGAGTTACTCGTTACTAGGAATGGCAATGAGATCGCACCGCACCTCGTCAGCGCCATCGAAGGCAATGTCAATGTGATTCACGTCGTTCAAGTCCATCGTCTTGACGCCAAACTGGCGAGACAAGACGCGCGACTGGTAGCTGGTGGCCACAAACTGCACATCCTTGAGCTTATTCTGAGCAAGTTTCCCGAGCTCCTCGATGGCCATGGACGAGGTGCTGCCAGTGCCCAACCCCACCACCATTCCCGGCTGCACGAGTTCCACGGCTTTCCTCGCCACTGCTCGCTTCAAGCTGTCCTGCTCCGCCGGGTCCTTGATGGCCGTCACCACGACCGCCCTGCAGCGGGATACATGCCCCCTCAAGCAACTCGATTGCTCCAAAAACAGCTTGGTGATCGGAAGTGGCTTCAAAGTCACTGATCCGGGACACTTCAAATTCCCACAACCTGAACCCCTCTCGGAGAATGACGACCCTGCTACGATCCGTGAGGCGGAAGCCGTCTGTGCTAGCTTCACAACCGACGACGACGCCATCGTGCACAAAACCCACAGAACTCCCGCACGAAACTGGATCGACGAAGTTCCTGCAACTCCTGATCTATCCAAGGAAGACGACGATCACAAGCAGATATAAGGCGAGATTCACGAAACCAACTCAGGAGAGGATCGAGACACAGGTTGGGGCAGGAGGAGTCGATTGATTGTTCGATTGATCGGAGGAAGAGGAGTCCGGCTGGGGACCTAATGCAACCGAGATGGAGAAGAATGATTCGGGGATTCGGGGAGGGAGAGGTAGGCCACTTGGAAAGAGCGAGCGATGAGGGCGAATACGAATCACCGAACATTGCCGAAGAACATGAGGATCATCGTTAGCTTCCACCTGGCCTTTTTTTTATATTATTATTGCTGCTTCTCTCAACAACCCCAACTCCCAACCCCCTATCCCCCCACTTTTCGTTTCTTCCTGCATTCTATTTTTTGCCTACTTCAAACCTTTAACAAACCTGGTTGTGACACAGTTCGTCAATTTGTTCAATTGTTGATGTACATGGTTATCGACGCCGAGTCATCTCTCACGTGGGCAAACCTACTGGAACTTCCTAGTACTCGGCCACCGCACAGCGTCAATCTAATCAACCTTGAAGAACCCCAGTGTAAACTTTTTATTATTGTCTTTAAAGAAAGCCTTCTTATCGACCTGTTTTCGGTGGGTTCGTTCAGGATAGGAACTAGAGGACCTGTGTGTAGGGCAACAGTGGCATTGTCAGCGAAGTAATCCTCTGCCTTGAGTATAGAGGATGCAGGTTCCTTTCTGAGCGAAAAAGTATGCGTCGCGATTACACGGAGGATTGAGCTTGTGTGATTCCCCAATTCGATTTTCTGTCATTATACATCTGACAGGGCGTGGGCAGATCAAAGAAATGACGAAATGGTGGGATAACTGGACATCCTTCCAGTATCATCCCATGTTCATCAACATGCTGGGTGAGAGTTGGCTGGACAGAATGAATTTTTCTCGGATTGTATTGTGGAGTTTGGGCAGTGATCGAATTTCTATGACGAATCGTTTGCTGTGCCCTTCCTCAAGGCACTGGTGCAGGGTTCATCAATCTTACAAACAAGATTGCTGTCCCGCATCTGCAATTAGTATCTACATGGCATACGCGTTTTCGTGCAGTTATTAACCAGTATGGAAAAAAGGCATTAACCATGAAAGATGTCGATCAGGAGATGCAGAATGGAACGAAGATTTTATCTGCATTTAGCGATTTAGTATCAATAAAGCTGTAAGCATCCTAAGATAAGGATCCACACGTGAACAATGGGACATTCCCTGGGCTTCTGGGTGAGGTCCTTGGCCCGATTCCGACGATGTCTGCAATTTCCGAGTCATAAGTCAACAGAAAACTAATCAACCTTCCTCGTGTACAGGAATTCCTGCACTTCTGTTCCATATCTGGGCGAGAGGGAGGGTTCAGGTGCGATCATAGAAGCTCAAGATTTAGAGCGTGGTGCATTTGGTCGACTTCCCATTACATTTTCAGTGGCTCATCTGCTGTATTTAGTCCATTTTGCCGTTGAACCTGCACCTGGTTCCCCTCCGGAGCTCGCCGTTGTAGTCAATGCAACAGTGAAGAGCTTTCTGTGCCCATTAGATGTGAGTAACATTCGACACACGCAGGATTGCTCATTGTAATATCCAGAATGTCAGTTTTTTTATTTGTTCTGAGCTATTATTAACTAACTGTTATTATTATGGTTTTCTAGGTGCTTTGTCTTACAAATGACCAAACAGAACTTCTTCTACTATGGCATTTCGCTTTGTTTGAATATGTGGGTCCTCTTTAGATCCAGTTGTGTGTTCATTGTTGTGGTACACCCAGTGTGCCTAGAATCAAACTTGAAAAGTGGTTATATTTCTACTTAATGTTTTCAACTTAATATTTTCAACTTAATATTTTCAACTTAATAGGGAAGAAGAAGAAGGCAACGTGGTGAGTATTATTCAGAATTTTTTGTATTTGAAATTCTAATTAAATGTTTTTTTTTACATACATTCGGATTATGATTTTGAATATTTATTATTATAATTGAAGATATTGATTTTTTTTTTACATTTGCAAGAATGATTTTTTTTTTTTTTTTTTCTATTATATATACAATACAAAAATAAAACTGGTGTTTGATGTTGAATGTAATAGTAAGGTAGAATATGAACATTTATTAATAATACATTACTGCTAATCTTTATTGTCTATATAGGTAGAATTATTCTCATATTGTCTACTAATGGTTCAAACTTGTTTAATTAGTTTTTAAATAGAAACATTAATGAGTTTAAAAAAAATCATGATAGTCATATTTAAGATATTGGCAAGTTATTAAAAATATAATATATAATTGAAAAAAAATAGAAATAATTTCAACTTTAATGATTTAAAAAAAAAGCTTTGTTGAAGAAAAAATGTATGGTGAATAAAAATCAACTTTAGTTTTAAAAAAAAATAAAATTAAGTATACTATAGAATTGCTGCACTAGCAATAGTTTAGAATTTAGATTTATATTCAATAAATTATACTTTATGGTAAATAAAATCTACCAATTGATTAAAAATAAATAAATAAATAAATAAAAATCTATACAAACCCAAATTAATGTCAATAGCTATCTATCAACTAAAACATACAAATAATTTTTAAACTATTTATTTTGGAACTTTATCAAGTCATATTCTTTTAAAGTGCTTTTTAAGAATTTTAAAGATATCTCATCTATTACTTTTGAACTTTTCAGCTTTAAATTCAAAAGTGATAATAAATACTTACAGAAGGGATTAATTTATGCAAATTAAGATAACTATTTTTAATATTTTGGATTAAAAAATTATTTATTATAAAGCCTCAAAGTTGAATTACAAAAAAGTTAGAATTTTTTTATGCTTTAGAGCTTTCAATAAAAAAAATAAATAGGCAAATGACGCAAATCATAAGCAAAATTAAATATTAAAAAGTTTATGCATGAAAGTAGTTAGAACTTGTACATGCAATCAAAGAGAAAAAAATCAAAATAAAATTTCTCATTACAGTAGTTTTTTATGGATATAATAACATTATAGCTATTCTAAACCTTTCAAATTTTATTGAGTATTATTTTTTTCTGTAACATGCAATGTATTAGAAAAACTACAGAAGCATACTCACAAAAACACATGAAAGACATAGCTGTTTTACCAAAGTCTAAAAACAATACACATAAAATTGTCCTTTTACAAAACCAAGCAATAAAACTATTAAAACTACTAAAGTCAAACCAAAGAATATTCTTAATGCCAATCAAATAGAACATATATTGTGCTATAGGAGGCAATGCTTCCCACTCCCCTCTTTTCCTTCTTCTTTTTAAAACTCTCATCAAGATAGTTGGATTACATGGCAACCAAGTCTATAATATATATATATATATATATATTAAATAGAATACAAGCAATGTCTATAATGTAATTCAAATAATAATATAAAAAACTATTGTTATAAATAATAACAATGAAGTTTCTTTATTTAAAAATAGAATTAATGCCAAAAAAATTGGTTAATATGTTTAAAATAATAAAAAATAAAATATAATATAATTTTTTATTTAAAAAAATTATAAATATAAATGACATGTATTATTTTTATGATACAAAAATTAAATTTTTAATAAAAAATTACTTTTAAAATATTACAAAAAAATAAAATCATTGAATTATAATAAATTAAAATAATAATTATGCATTGTATATATATATATATATATATATATGATAATAATATTTTTTTTTATTATGGTCTTATTTATTTATTTGGTTCTATTATTATATATTAATTAGCAAAATAGAGATTGAAAAACTTGATAACAATGACACTGCAACATATTTTTTTATTCAATTTTATAAATATCAAGAAAAGCTGTTGATAAATTTTTTAATATTAGAAGAAGAAAAAAGAAGAAAAAAAATATAAAAACTATAAATGGTTGCAATGACATAGTGCTAACTTTATAATATAAGAGCAAGTTTTAAGGGAAAAAAAATTTAAATGTTATTAAAAAACTTTAGTAAGTTTGAGTAAGAGATGAAAAACATGATTTTATATATTTTTATATTTATTTTTTATACAATAATGGCTTTCAATAAAAAGAAATATATGTTGGAAGAAAAAACATTGTGAATATGAACCAAAAATAATAACATGATTTTAAAAATTATAATATTGATGTTGCATTAGATGCATCAATGAATACATAATTATCCAAAATAGAAACTAAAATGGTTTTACAAGAATCCATGATAAACTGCAAGATATAGTTTGAAGATTTCTAAAGTTGAAATAAAATATGAAGGCATATAAATTTGAAATATGATTATACATCGAAGTCATGGATTTTTGAGTAAAGTATTATCCTCAACTCTTGTCACGGACACAGAAATACAGACTCGAGATCTAACAAGAAGTTCAGGAAGAACTAGCAAGAACTAGATTAATCAGATGAAAACAACACCAGAGAGGTGAGCTAGAGCTCGAAGAGATGTGTTATCAAGACTAAAGAACTCTTCAGCCTCGATTCCAATATATACTTCTATTTAAGAAGCTTCTCAAGCAACTTCTACCAACTAGGAAGCTTCTAGAAGGTTCCAGAGACTTCCTTCTAGAAGGTTCTAGAAACTTATCTCTAGAAGATTCTAGAACCTTGTTTCTAGAAGGTTCTAAGGATTATGTCTCTAACATCACCCCCTCCTTTAGCTTCGAGGTCTTTGAGAAGCAATATTGTTGATCAGTACCAATGCAAGAAAATGAAGATCTGTCGCATAACATCTGCTATGAACTCGAACTGTTGTTCACGAGGCAAGTGGTTTATCGGCCCTTGAAGCCAATGGTAGTGGCCCACTCCTTCAATTTCTGACCAAGCATGAACTTCCGTATCCTTATTATGAAATTGTCTTGCAAACACGCCTTCTGGTTGACCATCGTAAGCAGGCTCGGACTCAAATACAATCACCAATGATCGATTACTCTTTATCCGTCGTCTTCGTCGTGGTATAGGCGGTTCTTCATTTTGGGGTCGCCTTCGTGAGCTAGTCTGTTGAGATAATCTGATTGGCATAGTATCTATCTCTTGGCTATCCATATCAGAAGACCAAACTATGGCTATTAAAAAAATTCTATTTTATCTTGGAGAAAATAACTACATCAACTACGAATTTTGGTGGTGCTCTCCCCCTTTCTTATATTCTTATATAAGCAAGCTTCAGAAAGAAGCTATCGTCGAACCGGCTTAGGTTTATGAAGATGTTGATAAAACTCATGTACCTTTTGTGGCGCATT